TCACCGGATTCCTTTGACATTTTGTGTGACACTTAACATGTATAAGGCGCTGACACCATAAACAATGCCATGCGGGAGAAGCATCTATAAAAGGAATTCCACAGGGCTCATCACAATAAAAGCAAAAGGCAGACATGTCAGCATTGTCATCCATGTTAACCCATCTTTCTGACCATTGGTGTCGCACATGACTAGAACCAGCTTGGGCCACACATTTGCAGTCTTTTGCCGCAAAGTCAGAACAGAAGAAATGAGCTGCTACACCACAAACAGAGCAACGGTGAACTGGAGTGCGTGAAGCTGCTTTTGTACTAACGCTTTGAGGAGACACAAGTGAAAACAAGCAAACACAGCATGTGGATGGCTGTTCACCATAAGCAAAATCTTCCATCCATATATGATGGGAAAGTGGTACTTTTAGCTTCTTCCAAACTTTCTTTTTCGCTCTAGCAGCAGCTTTAACCCAATTTAAAGATGTTCTTCTCTGCCATGTCAGAAATGCATATATAATAGCAAGAAGTCCGAAGGATCCAGTAACCAACCACCCAAAAACGAATGGCCCAGGAGAAACAGAGTAGGACAAAGACCTCAAAATTGAAAAGCAGAGTGCTATCATTGTGAATCTAACTTGTCTGATTTCTGTCTAGCAGTAGAAAATTTGATGCTATTTACCATCAAGAGGATTACTTTAACAAATCTGACCAAAAAGACAAACAGCATTCATAAGAAACACAGTCTAATACAGCATAAGCTAATGGGAAAAGAAAAAACAAACCTGACCAAAAAGACTAAGCATTCATAAGAAACACAGTCTAATACAGCATAAGCTAAAGGGAAAAGAAAATAAATGCTATTGCAAGTGTCTTCTGGCTATTGCAACCAAGTATTTTATGCTAACTGAAAGGAGATCGAAAGCACCACCACTTTCCCATGGGATGAGATTTGAGTTGGAATATCTTTGACCAGAAGCTGATATTCACCCAGCAGAATTTTTTTTTGGTCAAGAGATTAACCTAATCCAGCAGATTTAGTTATTTCTACCACTCTTATGTGGAATAGGGTAGCCAAGGATGATAACGTGTTGTGAAGGGGACCATTTTCACTAACTTGGGTTAAAGCTGCTGCGAGAGCAAAAAAAAAAAGTATGGAAGAAGCTAAAAGTCCGAATGATCCAGTAACCAACCACCCAAAAACAATTGGCCCAGGAGAAGCAGAGTGCTATCATTGTGAATCTAACTTGTCAAGTTCTGTCTAGCAGCAGAAAATTTGATGCTATTTACCATCAAGAGGATTACTTTAACAAACCTGACCAAAAAGACAAGCAGCATTCATAAGAAACACAGTCTAAAAGAAAATAAATTCTATTGCAAAATGTCTTCTGGCTATTGCTAGAATGAACATTATTGAGAATTTAATTAATGCATTAAAGAAGAAATTCATAATGTGTTACAAGGAGCAAAGCAAGTTGATTGAACTGCCCAAAATCCTAAACTTGCACAAGTAGCAACATTTGAAATTAGACTGATTGAACCTCAACACCATGAATGGGAATCTTCTTAACATTTGAAATTAGACTGATTGAACCTCAACACCATGAGTGAGATCTTCTTAACAAGTAAAGGCTCCAGATTTTGACAGAAAGTGGATCCTAATATTTTCCTCATTGGTTAAATTATATGGACAAGGATTTCAATTGGTAAGATATGTCAGAGGCACTTATAGTCAGATCTGCCAAGCTGAAACTTGTTGGCAAGCTAAAATTTGGTGATGTAGCATTGAAGAGACTTAGCAAGAACAAGACAACCAACAATTGAAAATCAAGGTCAAATGATTGCACACACAAAGAGAAGTAGTATGCCCATTAATGAGTATATACAGTAATTTGATAAGTTGAAGAAACATAGCCATTAGCAGGTGATCCTACATAAGCATCAATTGGTAATTGATCCTGCAAACCCCACTATAGTTGTTGCCCAAGCTTATCAAGTTTCCTTTAAAATAAATGATGCAGAACAGAGTAGCTATAGATTACTAAATACATTAGAGATTATAATTCTATTAAATATAAAATTGTTACACTTTTTTAGGATATTTCCTATTTTGTTAGAACTAGCATCCCTAATCTATTAATATTAATATTTCTTATTTTACTCCTCTCTAGCAAAGATTACTTAGAAAGAATTACAAATATCTTTATGATTTCATTTCTTGAGACAAAATTCAGTTATTCAATAAAATCCATCTAAATTTTCTTAATTTCCTGATTACGCGATACAATCAAACCCTCAACTGCAATATGTAAGACTTATCAGATGTGATGTTTAAGAATCAAAAATCTCTAACAGCTGGGAAACTCTAGTGATGCTAGTTCAAGAGAAATTTCAACTTCAATAATGGAAACTAACATTGAATTAATGCTAGACAAGACGCATAAGAGGCAAAAGTTAATATAGATTCGGGATAATGCAAAACATACTTAATGCAATCATAGAAGAATGTAGATGCTTGCAAACTGCAAAAGTAGCCTGCTAGTTCAAAATCTACAAGTTGCACAAGTCACTGCTCCTGACACTAGACATGTTGCAGATAATATTGGAGACGTTATCGAGAAAACAAAGATTGAATCTCTTGATTTTAATAGAAGACAATACACTGATTTATTCCTCGATTAGCTTAACTGAAAGGAAAAACACTTTAGCTGGTACGATATACCAGACGCACGAATAGTTTAATTAGCTAAAACGAAGTTGGTTGGCTCATAAAGATATGGTGGTACAATATTAATGAGAATATACCAAGATTGAAACAGGATGATTAAAACATGGGATGAGATAAAAGTCAGTCTTCATGAAAAATATCTATTTCCCAACTACTTTGATGAACTTTGTCACTAAGCTTATACTTTAATTCAAGACAACATGTCAATAATTGAGTATACAAAGAAGTTTGAATAATTTGAAACTCAAGTTAGCTTGACATAAGGATGATTAAAAAGATGAATAAACATAAACGTCCAAAGCCACTCGAAGTCAATTGAAAAGATAAAGAGAAGGAGCCCACAAGAAGAACTATCATATTTTTGTAATAGTAAAGATGGTGAGGTTACTTAAAACCTATCACTACATAAGAAGAATTCTTTGGAAGTTCAATGTAAGGATGAACCTAAGCCAATAATCTGGCCCAGTGATTTCAACTCAAATATGAAGTTTACATACAAATTGGTCAATATATTGATTTCATCCTACCATCAAGATTTCACACTCCTAAACATTCATGTCTTTATTATGTTTGCTACTAAAGATAATAATTGAGCACAAATTTTGTTAAATTTTCATTGGAAAGCTCAAACATCAAGGTTTTACATTATTCGCAACTTCAAAACTCGTGTTAGAGTTTGCTCCAACTAATCAAGAATGATGTATATTGGGGTAGTTAGATTAACAAAATAAATTAGAAAATTATTATTCAATTAAATATAAAACCTATATTATTTAGGAGACTATTATTATAGTTTCAGTTAGAAATAGATAGTTCCGAACTGTGGATTTATTAATAATGATTATTCTTTGCAAACTATAGAAGATTTTGGAAATCTTATCAATATCCTGATTGAATTATAAATAATTTTGTATATGAGTTGGCACCTCTTGGTGCTTGCAATTAATAATACATACTATTCTTTTATTTTAAAAAAAATATATTTAATTTTCTTATTTATATTAGTAGTATTTCTTATTTTATAGCATTAGTATTCATAACCTTATTAGTATTAATATTTTTTAATTTAATCCTATTTAATAAGGACGACACAAGAACCATTATAAATATTTTTGTCATTTCACTTCTTGAGAAAGAATTCAATTATTAAAAGGATCTTTACTTAATTTTCTGCTCGTGTGACATTATCAAACCCTCAAGTATTAAGACCTCTTCGATGATATCTAAGAAATTAAGTGTGATATTTATGTTTTTAACTCTATATCTCTAAGCAGGAAAATTACTTAGTTTTAAGTACTCAATTATGTAAAAATACTAGGTTTTGAGCAAGGGCGTAGCTTGTAGAAAAAAAAAAATACTAAGGCATGGCATAAAATCAGCTTCTTATTCAACAAACTTTCAGCTGCACCAGTGGATAAACATCAATTCCCAACACACACAGCACAGAAGTAACTAGATGGTTTACTTTCAAGTGTGGGAAGCCCAATTACATTGATACCAACTTCGAAAGAAAAACATGATACTTGAGAAGAAAGTGATAGGTAATTAAGAGAGATAAAATAGGGCAATGGTAGCTAGAGTAATCTACTGAAAACTAGAAATCATTATTCAAATTTGAGGTTGGCTAAACATTTGGCCTAGATTTTCTTTTTTTGTTCGAAATAAGAATATTTGTCCTAGATTCTCAACATATGTTTAAAAATCTTGGCTGGTTCGGCCATGAAGATCATTGAACTTTCTGACAAAGATGGGGTTCACCTTCATGGGTTGCCCTATTTGTCTCCACAATCATATGGAATTCTTGAGCTATTTATGGCATACTTTGTGGAAGTGGTTAAACATTAAGTTTAAACTTTTTACACCCTTTCATCTGCTAAACATCACCAATTATAAGTTGTTAATTGGAATTATATGATAATCTTTATTGTTATGTTCTTGATCATGTCAGCAATTGGGCTTATACTCTTCCCACAGCAAAAAATTTGCTTATAATAGTTGAATAACTTGAAGAACCGCTATAAGTTCATTTGAGTGTATATGCTTATACAACCAAAGAAAATAATTGATTTTGGTTCCTTTTTCAAATGATATCTTTTCTATTGCTAAGGCAAGTCTGTTCCCTATGCATGTTAAGGAGATAAATCCAATGGTTGAAAGAAAAATTGCTCCAACCTCAAGCAACACAAGTTGGAGCCTATGGAAATTTCAAGAAGGAACTTCTTCTTTCAAGTAAGGACAAATATTGGTTCTAGTAATATCCTTAAGAACATGAGCCGTGATACTTATGTTCTATTTGCTGAGATATATGGGCATAAGTTTTTTCCTGGAAGAACTAATGTTCCAATGTTGAAAGTTGACCTTATCCTGCAGGCAGGATGATACACCTAGTGATACCACCCATATTTGCCCCCTACCAGCTGCAGAAGTAAAGAAAGAGATCAATTGACAGTTGATTGTTCGATGTTACTACTAGCATGATATGAAATGGAAGGGACTCTGCCATCCTAATTGAACTTGGATCACGAAGGTTGACACAAAAGTAAAGAGAGAGATTGGGATATGGTTGATTACTTAGAGGTTACTACTAGCATGAACAAGTTTGGTCAATCTTTTGTCTGCTTCAAACGAGAAGCGGTCTGCCATTCTAATTGAACCAGGATCATAAAGGTTGAGATACAAAAGCTTAACCTTGACATCTAACTCTAGGTGCAATATCTAAGAATTCTAATATGATTTCTCGGTAGATAGATGATCTTAATTTTCCTGTTCTGGTGAAACTGTTTCAGAAGGTTTGCACTTGTGCAACACTGTTAACATTTTACTGTTCATGCGGTAATGCTCCAGCCCCAAACAGCATTATAATATGATTTCTAGGTAGATAGATGATCTTAATTTTCCTGCATCATCATCTCAAGCTCCCCCAACAAATTCTAATTCCAAAAAAGATTTTGCTTAACATCCATAATCATCATAGTGAGTCTGACCTATCAGACACCACATAAATGGCTTGCACTTCTCCATTTTACTGAGTTGATTGTTGGCTACTAGTTACTTTTTTCAGTTTACAATAACAACAAATTGTTAGCAATGACAGTTCATTATGGTAGTACTAGATAGAATTTTCGGTGGAATGCAAAAATCTGTATTTTGCTAAATTGGTAACAAGTAAAATTGCATTCCAGCATGTGTTGTGCACTCATCCGAACATATCCCGGAACATTTGAAATAAAAAATTCTCCAGTATATATAACAAGAATATTACCATATACGTTCTTTTGAATCTTGTATTTGCACATCTTGTTATATTTTGACACAGTCTGCGTGGCAATGCAATATAGACCGCACAAGGACATTTACAAACTCTTCCAGCTTTTGTATAAATGCAATAAAAACTGTGGAAAGGGCATAAATAAGTTTTAGACTAATGTTTATTTATTTTCAATAGAAAATATGCTCAATAGAATCAACTGCATTTAAAATTTAAATACAATTAACTGACTGGCGATAATCATTTGTGCTGGCAAGAAAAAAAAAAGAGAGATTAACAATCCTGATTCTATCATAGCAATTCCAATAAATCGATTTGACTTTCTTGGCACGTTGGAATGCCAGAATTTTTTTATCGCTTTACCTACATTAGTTTTGTAATTGCTTCAATATTCCTACAAATTCGAAGTAACCAAACAAATAATCGGATCGGTATGAATCTTGAAAGACAAATGATCATCATTTAAAAAAAACAAAAAAATCAAACAAAACCTCGAAACACAAGAGAGAGAGAAGAGATGAAACTTTTTTAGGGTCATGGAGTTAAAATGAATTTAAAAAAGAAAACGCAAACTTAGATCTGAGAAGAAAATAAGAAATATTGAACAAGAAGATGGAAAAAAAAAAAAGAGAAACAGAAAGAAAATTTTAGTTTACCTAGATAAAGCGAACCTGGTGATCTCCGGCGAAGAGCAGAGAACGGAAGAAATTGAGATATGAACAGAGAGAGAGAGAGAGAGAGAGAGAGAGAGAGAGAGAGAGGGGTTAAGGCAGTTGATCTGAGACGAGGCCGGAGAAAGAAATGAGGCTTTTATAATAATCGGTGAAAAGAAAAAGGCGGGATTTCCCTCGCGCAAGAAACACGCCTCTTCTTTTGGAATGACCGAAGGGTATGGGAGCATTGTCTCCGTGTGAGATTCATTTAAATTACCAAAATACCCCTATTCTGTTAATTCGAAACGACAAATGACGGCATCATTTTAGAGATTTCGTAGATATGCGTCTGAATCTAAACAAATTTCTCATTGCCACCAGATTCTACAACTTGACTTGGTTGACTTTTACTCCATCAACAGTAAATTTATAAAAAGTAATAATAATAATAATAATAATAAATAAATTTGATAAATATATTATATTTTTTATTTTTATTCATAATTTAATTTAATTTATTTTACATTAAATATAACCATTTATTTTTTAAAAATTATTTTGTTCTCTCAATGACAATTATCTGCTCGTTATTTATGATCAATTTCGCTTTTATCTTTCGTAGAAGATAAACATTTGACTTAATGTTATTAAAATTTAGTATGTATTTAGTTTTATATTTTATTTTTAAATTTAATTATTTTGATAATATTTATCTTTTTATCTACATAAATAAAAACTCGAATCCTTAGTTATACCGTGCATTTTTGTTATGATAAAAATATTATTATTAATGTGTATTTAATGAATTAATAATAAAATTTATCAATTTTTAAAAAATATTTATTTTCAAAACTTATATATTTACTTTTAACAATTAGTATAAACTTACAATATTAACTATAAACATCTGTATATTTAGCTATTAAGTCTATTTTCTTTAAAAAAATATTATTATATTTATAAGCCATAATAATTTAATGTAATATTTTCAAAAACTATTAAGAGGCAATATCAAATCAATATGGTAAAATTTGTTTTCATCTCAAACATTAAATTAGGTTCTCTCCCAACCAACCTGTGAAACAAGATAACAACTAACAAATAACGCTCCTTTCCATTCATTTAAACCAATCGGTTGGCCATATCGGCAAAATTATGGGCTTTTAAAGTTAGGAACCCATAATTTTAACAAAAGGTAAATTAGTATTTAACTATGGAAATATAGTCTCTAATATTTTTTTTGGTAGAAATAGGGTTACAATAAAAAAAAAATTGAGTATTTTGAAATAAATAAAAAATACACAATAAACTAATTATAATAAAAAAATATTAAAAACTAAATTATAACAAGTGTATTACTAATGTTCTGTTTAGATAAATTTTGTATGAGATAATTAATTATGGTAATAATAAAATTATATCATGTAACAGCCCCGAAAATCTAAAATAAAATATATAATGATTTAAATGTGAAAGCGAAATAAAATGTTAAGGTTTACATCTCTTATACAATAACTTAAAATTACTAAACAAACATTACAGAATAAATTCTATAAAATCAAAAAAAGTAATAAAAAATATAAAGTATATAGCATATACTCGCAATTTTTATGCGGATCAGGCTTTGGAACCAGGTCCTTTTGATTTGAAATGGTTAAATAAATGATGAACTACACTAACGCAGTAAAAATATCACACTATATCACCCGCACAGAAGTAAAAATTAGTATAAAGTCAAAACAATTAATGGAGCACTAAATTTAGCAAATTCGTTTATTAATCGTAAAATTATTTACCGTTCATTTAACATAGTTGAATTTATGAAAACAACATATAGAGACAATAATATCATACAAATCATAACTTTATAAACAATTAGCAACATATAACATATCATAAATGCATATCCATTAATAATAACCAAATCATAACCGTTTTTCATTTCACTAGCTTACTAGTATTTATGGGGGTTCATAGGAATGTCTCCGCTACACGTGAACCATTTTCTTTAACAATCTCAATTATAGAACCGTCTCCATACCCCGTCCGATATAAGTGCCAAATTACCAAGTCTTCATACCCCATTCAGTATGAAACAACATTTACGGTAGGGTTTCCCATATACCCGGTACGTCCACTATCTCTCAGGATATCTAGTAAGGCTGTCATTCCATATGTTTATTTGATCACACCCATTTTCTGTTTTCTTTTAGTCTCTATTACCAAATCAAACATAGTCACATAAACAAATAAACATGCATCAGGTAATGCAATCATGTCTCAAATATCAAATCAAACAGTAGTAAGGTAAGACAGCAATACATGCATTTTAACTATAAAATAGATAAATCAAATAATATAATGATTTTAGACTGTAAAATAAATTAACAAAGAATAATTTTCGGTTCAGGCTTCATTAGCAATCCGTAATTAATTATGCAAATCTATTTAATTTGTACAAAATACCGTATTAGTATTTATTTAAACTTCAATTCTATGATAGAGAATAGAGTAAGGGATCCTTACTCGATTTGACACCGAAAAACTGAACGGTTTACTACGCATACGGACAGTCCCTAAGTTCCTTGAATTTTTCTACTGAAACGTGCTTATAGTACCTACAAATATTTTAAATAAACCCAAAATCAGTTATAGGGCCCGCTCTATCAATTTCGAAAATACAGCACGGTGGCTCCATCGTGCTCCGACAATGGCGAGCGGCAACGGTCCGCCTCAGATTGGCTGTTTTTGATCATTTTTGGTCGAATTCGGTCGATTTTGCATCAATTGCTATGAGCACATACGCTAAAGGGCCTCGATGGGCCGAAAAAAAAATACAAAAATCAAAACTCACCGACAGCGGGGTTCTCCGGTGCGGCAGCTCCTCCGGCTCACGTTGGGTTGGATGTTTCGTTTTGGTAAACTTGTAAAGAAGAAAACGGTGATCACAATGGTGAAAAAATTACTTGAAACGAGAATCGAAAAAGATCTAATCGGAAGCAGTTTATGAAATTTCTTAAGGCGGCGCCGGGCTTCGTTGGTGTTTTTTGGCCAATTTACCAGTTCTTTCACTCCGATTTGGTCATGGATGGGTTTAAAATTAAATTTCGTGCAAAAGATAAATTTTTTCCTTTTTTGGCAATTGGAAAGGGTTCCAATGCAGCGGCGGATGGTGGCAGTCGGCTCCTCGGTGGCTGGGTTGTCTTCTCCGGTGAGGGGTTCTGGCGGCTAAGGTTAGGGTTTGGGTACGGATGAGGTTATTTATACCCATCCGCTTTTGATCTGAACCGTCCATTGCGTTTGATATGGACCCTCTATCGCGTTTGATCTAGACCGTTCGATCACGATTAAATAGGGAGTGAATCTGGGCCGTTCATCGCGATCCAATCTGGGTCGTCCGTGCGCGATTCACTCTGGGTCATCCGTGCACGTGGGAACGGATCTCAGTCATTCGATCGCTTGCACGCGGATCGCCTATGTGGCTCCCCCGGGTGCCCTCCCGCATCAGCACCTTTGCCATTTGGCGCGTTCTAGTTGGTCGGGGCTGCTGACCGGGCGTCTGATATGGTAAAATTTTTTTAAATTGCGGTTTGATCCTTAGTTTCTGATTTTTTTTTTCAAAAACATCCTACGAATCCAATTTTTCACTCATTTTTTTCAAAATTATTTTCAATTTAATTCTTAATAAATTTTACCTATTTTTTCATTAAATTAAAATAAAATAAAATATAATAAAATAAATTAAATAAATAAATAAGTATATTTATTAATAAAAAAATAAAAAAAAAGATTTTGGTGGGCGTTACATATCATGTTTGAGAAGATTGTTTATTAATGTATGGTAATGATAATTATTTTATTTTAATTGATAGAATAGTATAATTACAATTAAATTATTAATTTATTTATATTTTATTGTATGTAATATTAAATAAAAAAATAGTATATAAAAATAATATAATAAATATATAAAAATATATTTATTTTTTTAATATTCTTAATTTTTTAGATAGTTAGATCCTAAAGCTACAAATTTATTTAAAGTTTTTATTATTTATATTATTATTATTATTTTTATCATTATCATTAATACTGTATTTTTATCGTAGATAATTTCTCTTTAGTAGTTTCTCTATTTATAAATTTCTCCAACAACTTCTATCCCCCAACACCCAACCGTGTCGCATGCCCCATAACAACTTCATTCCTAACAAATTCTCCCTCAGCATATGTTAACTAAGACAATTAATTTTCTTTTACACACAATACAATATATTGATATTTTAGTACTTTTTAAAAACACACATTAAGTATACCCTTAAATATATATGTCAATTTATTGCCTTTATTGCCAGTGCATGCATCTACTTTGAAAGATATCAAAAGTATAGTATAGGGTAAAAATATTTATCTTTAGTTATTATTATCTCTTAAATATTTCTCTCACTTATATAAGTATGAAATATTAGTTTATACGAATACCCATCTTTTTAAAAAATAAATTGACATAAAATAAAATAAAATTATCCTACTATACAATCTTATAATATAATATATACATCTCACTCCATAGATAATATATAAGTTTAGCCATAATATATTCATAAAAATCTAATATAGATTGTCATATGGTTTTTGTTAAATACACTCGTGACATCAACCAAAACCATTATGAAATATTTTAAATCAATCAACAAGTCAATCTTGCTCTAATCTCAAAGCCCCTAATTTTTGTTCAAAAGAATCTTAAGCTCTAACCTAAACCATAAACAAAGAACAGCAAAAAAGACTGTAGTTTTCCCTTTGGTTTTATGCTTTTTTTAAAGAGATTATAATTATAAAAATGTGCAGCATACCCAGCATGTAATTGAAAAGCCATAATGTCTTTCATAAGCACGTTTCTACTCAATTCCTGGAAAGGCTACTCGTTACGTTCGAATCTGAATCAAGCGTAAAGTAATACGAAAGCACCACGCTCCAAACGCGCACGTGACGCCTGCGCTAACGGAAGTTCACACGAAGCACTGAAGTCAACGGGCATAATCGAAGGCAGTTGGAAAAGAGCTTCAAGCAATCGTCTTTTTTAACTGCCGTTAGCCACGTCATCTCCCGATTCCTAGTTTGGCGGGAATTCCGTAATTCTCATGCCAGATCGAGAATATAGAAAAGAAAACGGAAAGATATAGTTTAATTTTCTCGCCGACGATTTAAAGGGTCGAATCTGTATTTCCTCTTTTATTCGATGTAACGATCGGTTATTCTTTTTGATTGATGGCAACTGATCAATGGCGTTCTCCAGAGGCGTAGCAGCAGACGAGGAAATAGGGAAAGCAGGAGCCGGTAAACGAACGCATGTGCAGACCGCGACTCAGGCCCAGGCTCAAACTCAAGCTCAGGCCAAGCGGAAGGCGACTGGGGTGAGAACATGGCTGGTGGTGTCGGAGTCCGGGGAGTCGCGGTTCGAGGATGTTGGGAAGCACTCAATTATGCGGCGGACGGGCCTGCCCGCTCGCGACCTGAGGGCTTTGGACCCGGTCTTGTCGTATCCATCATCGATTTTGGGGAGAGAGAGGGCCATCGTCATCAACCTGGAGCACATCAAGGCCATCATCACTGCCAAGGAGGTCCTCATGCTCCATTCCTCTAATCCACTCGTTGTCCAGTTTGTTCAGGACCTCCAGCAACGAATTTCTTGCCTCCATGCTGCGCCGCAGCAGGTAATACAAGGTCTAAACTATTCATAGTACGATAAAGATGGAGACAATATCTAGATTTATCTCTCACCTCGTTGCTCAACAATTCGTGTCTATTCATTTTATAAAACGCCCCCCGAAGGATCCCGTGGATTCTCAATCTTTTTCAATTTCGTGGACCTTTTACCTTCGAAAACTATTAGAATGGATTATCCAATCCACTCTCCGTATGATTTTCGAAGTAATACATTTCACTTTGTGCTTATAGAAATCTTCTGAGTCGGCAATGGATGATTTTATAATCCTTTAGGAGAGTTGACTAGTAAAGATTATTACCTAAAATGCCCTGCCGTAGAGAAGTATTTTGTCGAACTAACCTGGTAACTATCTACTCTACAAAGGCAATGGAAGAGTCACCTGCTGTTGCATGGACCTCAACCTTAATGCCCCGTGATGATGATTCAGGAACTGCACCAACTAGTGAACTAACAGATCACAGCCCGACAATGATGAATATGCCTATAGATGCGGGTCCAAAGATATTGCCATTTGAGTTCAAGGCACTTGAAGCTTGTCTTGAGTCTGCTTGCAGGTGTCTCGAATCCGAGGTATGCAGTTTATTTCTTACCTTCTTATTTGTCTCATTCTAGTGTTAATATTCATCTTACAAATTTCTTCCATTGGAAAAGTTGATAGTTGATCCTTTGGGATTCAGAAAATACTTTGTATAGTAATGAAAGCAGGAAAAAATAGGTCGTTTTTCAAGGTAACTACAAATTATCAAAATAAGATAAGCAAGATTGTAGTGTAGAAACTCTTGCTTACTACTTCCACCATCCAAGTAAGAGAAGTCCACGGTGCGGTTGAAGTGCATAGGTAGTAGCCTCAGTCCTAAGAAGCAACAATCATGCTACTTCAGCTATATGCTCTACAGGTGCCACAACAACCTTTAACAAGTATGATCGGGATTGTTGATCCCCAGATCTGCTGGTCTGCGATATTCCCCCTAGCCCACAAGTACAAATCATTGGCAGAATATAATCCCAAAATACTCCACATACTCAAAAATAGTAAATCAAGAACGGGGAAAGACCTGGAGAGTTCCCCAACAGCATACCGTTAAAGGCTAAGATTATCTGATTTGGCTGTTTCATTGATGTGTGTCACATATGATAAGTGATGATGTGTTTAGTTCTCAGTTAGTGCTGTAATTGTGTGCCTTGTAGTTAGTTAATTATCGTACTTGATAAGCGCATTGATTCTTAGAGAGTTGTTGAGGAAGTTAAGTATGAGGAGACAAAAATTCCAAGAGTATATCAAATGGAAGCTTAATTCTATTTTGGTTGATGATTGGGTTGGAAGGGGAAGCCTCAAAACTCAATTCCCAAGGATTTTTCCCACTGCGCAATCTAAGAATATCATTGTTGAATAAGTCTATAGAGAGGTGAATGGAAGTATGGAGTGGTTTGTGAATGTGACAAAAAACCTCACTGATTGGGAGATTGAAGAATATGAAGCATTGCTGCATATTTTGTCCGCTGTGCACTTGAATGACAATAGAGACTTGATTGTGTGGAATTTGAAGAAGCAGGGGGAGTTCCCTGTCAAGTCCTTTTATAACCATCTGGTGGGAAGAGTTGAGGTGGGTTTGGACCGGTTCCTTGCTAATCAGATATAGAAGGTGAAGGTTCCTCCTAGAATTGTTTTTCTTTTTTTTGCTTGGGAAGTGAGAAGAGAATGTGTACTGACTATTGGTAAACTGATGAGAACGGCTAGAACATTGGTGAATGACTATTATTTTTGCAAGAAAGCTGCTGAGTCCTGTAATCATGTTCTTCTTTGGTGTCCGGTGGTGTATAATATTTGAGCAATAGTATATGGATTACTAGGTATTAATTGGGTTATTGCCGGGTCGGGGAAGGATGAGTTATGACTTGGGATGGGATATGTAAAAAGAAAAAATATGCAAATCTTATTCCTTTGACTATTTTTTGAGCAGTTTAGAAAGAGATAAATAGTAGACCTTTTGAGGATATTGAGG